CACAATTGCTCTGATACCATGTGAGAAGGCACGGGAGAAAATATGTTATTGATATTGGATTATCAATACAATACAAGAGGTCCTTATTTATAGCTATACTATACAAGGAAATACTACTCTTCTACCAATGTGGGATAATACTACACTATATACATGCTGTAAACTAACAAGTGTTATAAGTAAATTTATGATTTATACGTTTTGTTCCTATCATACATCTGGAGGTGTGTATCAATAAATTACTTTGATTTGTAAAAATAAGAAGTAACAGACAAGTGCATTGTCTGAAAACATGTTACTAAATAAACCTTGCAAAATGCTGATAATTGTAGGGGGATCTTTCTGCTGTAGTATGGAAGTTCTGGAATTAGCTTATCCTTTCAGTGCATTGATGATCTAATTTAGGATGCTTTCTCCCTTTTCTTCATTTTTAAAAATTCTTTTTCCCTTTCATCAGCTTTCTTAGCATGTCGTGTCTGTACTTGTGCTTGTGTTTGTTTCTTAATGATAATCTTCTACTTTGTATCAGTGGTTGTTGGATTCGTACAACACTCAAATACTTATCATGGTATTTCTGGCTATAGTGTCTATGCTACTTGCCGGTTTCCTTGCATACCACACCAAACTTTGTGTCACAAATACTACAACAAATGAGGTATTCCTTTTTTGTATTTAATTCAGTACAGTACATATCTCCAGTAGCTTAGGATGATTTTGTTGTTTTGCTGTGCAGTCTGACTTTTCTTCTCCTTCATAGTACCTGCATTTTCCTTAGAAGTAAGCTTATGGAACTATATGTGTCTAACAATGAACTTGTTGTCTTATTACTCATTTTTCTTTTTTTGATAACTGAGAAATCCCCGAGAGCCAGTGGGGCACAGTTCGAAACTCGGTGGAGAATTAGCCCGCTCCTCTACCCTTCTCCACTTAAATACCAGGCTTTTGTCTTTAGCAGGGTTCGAACCCATGACGTGCGTCTAACCCACACATCACAAGTTACGTTCTTACCACTAGCCCGAAGCCTTGGGGGCCTTGTAATATTATTACTATTACATGGACATTTTCACCTAGAAGGAAATATGGCTTCTGATCTATCACTGAACAAAGTTCAGGCCAGTTGGAGACCTTGAAATCTCAAAATATTTCGGCAAACAAGAAATAAGAAGTCTGCTCTTATAAGGGGGATCAAGTAAGTAAACACAATTTTGACTGACCAACCTAAAAATAACACGTTTAAGGACCAGAGGAGCATTATCTCGTAGTCTGATAGCAGTCTCTCCTTTTAGTCTTAATTTTGACTAGGCATGAGAAAAAGAAAAGTAAAGAGAAGAAAGGAGGAAGAAGGGGAAACAGAAAAAGGAAAAAAGCATTGGGACATCCTAAATTCTAATGATATACCCTATTGATTCAGCATACCTCCAAAATTTTAGGAGTCGAAACAGCAGCGGAAGCTGTTCTTAGCTCTCATCTAAAGCTAAATTTTGCTCGTGTGGACTGCAGACTTTCAAATGGCAAGAATATTTAAACTGGAAGAGGAAAGTCAATGAAGCAAAGGCAAGTGCAGCAGCTCTCAAATCAAGTTTAGGTGAATTGAACCAGGAAATGATGCGCCCTGTGAGCAAATGGAAGGCCTTCTTTCGGAGGTCCCATCTGGAAGAAGTGGAGGTGGTTAAGAATAACATTTACGATAAAGGACTGCTCCAGAATGTCTCTGAGATTGTAATTCCTCTTTCAACAAGACGTTCATTCATACAGAGGAAATCAAAATCAGGTTAGAATTGTCAGTTGGTGACCCATATTCCATTGGGGCTTGATAGCTCATCTTAGTCCAAGTCTTTAGTCTAATGGTCGTAAACACCGACGAGAATGCTCTAAATGTGAAGTACGCTCGATTCTATCAGAACCTATTACAAGTATCGACAAGTCATCTACCTTTACTCTTGGATGGGCACGGTTAATGCAGTTTAATTGCACGTGGTGAAAGGATTGGAGGGGTTCTGAGGAAGGGGTTTAAGTGCCAGTAGTGGTGTTTGCTTCCTTTTATTTGCTGCGGCTGCAGCTGTTGAAGGGAAGTGCTTACTGTTCCTTTTGGTGCATTCTGATTACTACTGGTGCAGCCTGGGTTTCTTCTTATTTCTAGGATAAATTTCAATCCTACTTTATTTAACTTTTTATAGCTCTTCGCTGCTTAGCAGCAAATTTTTACTTGTACTATGTAATACGACGAGAATGAGTGCCTGGTATATGTTGCAATCCATTGTCTCATGTGTCCACCAGCTGTGGAACTGGAACTCGGTAGAACTCAAATAAATTTTGTGCTCATGTAGCGGAAAAAGAGAGAATGTTACCCAGCAGCTTAATATTTTTTTTTTAAATTATAATGTAAATTTCATTGATGCCTGGAGAAACTCTTGTATGCAAAAAGCAGGGAACTTGCATTAAAATGTGGTTCTCTAAAAAAAAGGCTCTCAATCTTCTATCCAAACTGAAACAAGGACCGCATGGATGTTACCCCCCCCCCCC